CCACCCCAGTGCGCAGGACGCGAGCAGCTCCGCCCCGTAGAGCGCCGACGCCTCCACGCGGGCGGCCAGCTGGGAGACCTGCATTGGCAGACCAAACCCGCGGTCCGCCAACGCCGACACAAGCTGGCGCGCACCCTGGCGAAGCCGCGCGCACACCCGGTCCAGGAGCTGCTGCAGGGACAGCTCCCCGTCCAGCGGCGCGCCCAGGCAGGTGGGGCTCTCCTTCGGCCTTGTGGGGGCCGCTGGGGGCTTGTTCGGGGCCTCTGCTTGCCCGTCTTAGGGCGTTCTTGGCCGGGCTGACGCCGTCGGGAGCCATCTTGAGGGTCTCTGGGCCGACTTTGGGGCTGTCTTGGAGACCACCTTGGCTGTCATGGAGGCCTCTCGGGCCTTCTTGGGCCCCGCTTTGGGCCGTCTTGGTGTCTGGGGCCGTCCTGGGGCCATCTTGGAGGCCTCTTGGGCGCTCTGGGGACGATCTTGGGGGCCTCGTGGGCCGTCGTGGGCCATTGGAAGGCCGATGTTCAAATCCTTCCAATACCTAGGGAAAACAGTAATTTGGGCCTATTCGGGCCTTCCTGGAAGACCTCTTGGAGGCCTATTGAACCCGTCTGGAGGCCTCTTGGGGACCTGAGGGACCGTCTTGAGCCGTCGTAGAGGCTTCTTGGGCGAACTTGGACGCATCTTGGACTCTCTTGGGCCGTCTTGGATGCCATCTTGGACCATCTCGTGCAACTTGAGGGCCATCTTGGCCGTCTTGGAGGCTATGTTGGGCCATCTGGGAGCCATCTGGAGCAGGAGAACCCTTTGCAACCACCTCGAACGCAGCCTTCCGGGTGGCCGGCGGCATCGGCCGAAGCCCCAGGGGGAGTTTTGAAAGAGCCACGAACTTTTTCAAGTATGGCACGCAAGGCACCCCGGTGGCAAGCCAACAGGGGGCCGCGGATGGAATGGACTTCGGTCATAGAGCCTATAGGATGCTCGTGGGGATGTCGCGGGATGCCTGGGCTTCTCGGGGGCCGTTTTGAGGCCTCTCGGGAACCGTTATGGGGCCTCTTGGGGCGCCTTCGGGACCTACTGAGGCCTCTTGGGGGCCTCTTGGGGCCTCTTTGGGGCATCCTGGGGTCCTGTTGGGGCAGAAGACTCGGATTTTCGTTTCCTCCCTCTTGGGCCCTTCTTGGGGCTGCCTTTGGGCCGTCGTGGAGCTTTCGTGGGCCGTGTTGGGGGGGGCCTCTTGGACCATCGCGGGGCGATCCTGGAGGCCTTTTTGGCCGTCTTGGAGCGTCGGGAGCTCGAAAACTCGAGGACTCCTAAATCATTGAAAAACCAATGGCAAATCAATGATTTTGACCTCTCGTGGCCCTCTTGGGAAGACTCTTGGGGCTCTCTTGTGGGGCATCTTGGAGGTCTCTTGGGCCGTCTTGGGACCGTCTTGGGCGTCTTAGTGCGATCGTTCGGCGACTTCGGGCCCTCTTGGACCGCCTTGGGAGCCTCGTGGGGCCCTCTTGGCCCGTCTTGGGCCCGAGAACGTCACGCGAGAAGACGCAAGACGCCCCGTGGAGCCCGCGAGAAACCCAAAACGAGTGTGAAGGCCCTACAGCCCTGGTGCCGCCGACCCTGAAGACGAGGACGAGGACGAGGACGAGGACGAGGAGGAGGAGGAGGAGGAGGAGGAGGAGGAGGAGAAGGAGGACGGGGAGGAGGAGCAGGAGGAGCAGGAGGAGGAGGAGGTGGAGGAGGAAGAGGAGGCGGAGGACGCGCTGGAGCAGCAGGTGGAGGAGGAACAGGATGCGGAGGAGGACAAGATGGGGGAGTAGGGGCAGGCGAAGGACGGGAGTTGGGAATGAGCAGCAGGAGGAAGGAGGATGAGGACAACGGGATTCGGAGGAGCAGGAGAAGAAGGAGGAAGACGTGGAGGAGAAGAAGGAGGAGGGGCAGGAGGAGGATGGTGAGGAAGAGGTCGAGATAAGGTTGCGGAGCACCGGGGGCGGGGGGGGGGCATGATGAGGAGGATGATCATGTGGATGAGGATGATCGGGAGGAGGATGCGAAGGAGGGGGATGAGGAGAAGGGACGGGTGAGGCGGAGGAGGAGGAGGAGGAGGAGGAAGGAGGAGAGGAGGAGGAGGAAGGAAGAGCGGAGGAGGAGGGGAGGAGGAGGAGGAGAGGAGGCGGAAGAGGAGGGAGGAAGCGGTGGAGCAGGAGGGGGAGCAGGAGGAGCATGCGGAGGAGGATGAGGAGGGGAGTTGGGGCAGGTGGAGGTCGAGAAGGGCAATGAACAGGTGGAGGACGAGGAAGGCAAGGCAGAGGAACAGTTTGAGAGGAGGAGGAGGAGGAGGAGGAGGAGGAGGAGGAGGAGGAGGAGGAGGAGGAGGAGGAGGAGGAGGAGGAGGAGAAGAGAGGAGGAGGAGGAGGAGGAGGAGGAGGAGGGGGGGTGGAGGAAGGAAGAGGAGGAGGAGAGGAGGAGAGGAGGAGGAGGAGGAGGAGGAGGAGAAGGAGGAGGAGGAGGATGGTGAGGAGCAGGGGGAGGAGGGGGGGGGGGGAAGAGGGTGATGGGGGGAGTGGGCTCCAGGGCGGGACAGGCGGAGGAGTAGAAGGATGGGGCTCTTTGCCCGTTTTGCGTGTGGTTGCGGAGACTCTTGGGGGGCCTCTTGGGAGCGACTTGGGGGCCTCCAGGGGCTTCCTGGGAGCCTCTTGGGAGCGTTTGGGAGGCCTCGTGGGGCCTCCTGACAGCTTCTCGGGGGCGAGGGCTCGAGATGTCCGTTCGGGTCCCCCGTCTGGGCACCCTCTTGGAGCCCTTGGCCTATCTTGGAGGCGTCTCGGGCTAAGGTCATTTTGGGAACCTCTTGGAGGACTTTGGGCCGTCTTGGGACCATCTTGGGGGCCTCTTGGGCCGTCTTAGAGCGTCGGGAAGCGGAAGAGGCGAGAACGCCAGAATCGTTCAAGACCTTCAAGAAGTTGATGGATGTTGCTTGTTGGGGCTTTCTTGGGAGTGCTCCTGGAAGCCTCTTGGGCGTCTTGCAGGCCTCATGGGGGAGGCCGTCAGAGCGTCTTGGACGGATCGTTCGGTGGTTCGGAGACCTCTTGTCCCGTCTTGGGGGCCTCGTCGGGCACTCCTGGCCCGTCCTGGAGCTTTCTCGGGACCCGGGACCCTCCAGGGGGGGGTGTCGTCTCAGGGCGGCGACCTCCCCCCAGACCCCCCTGGCCCCGACGGGGGAGGGCTCACAGGAGCCCCCCTTCGATTGAATCACGACGCTGCTCGATTTCGCTTCGGCTGGCGTCCAGGAGAAGCGAGGGAGCGGCGACGGGCCCAGGGAGCTGTGGGCCGCAGGGCAAGGGGGACGACAGACGAACAACGGAGACGACGGCTCGAACGGACAGGCCCCTCACACACGCCGACAGGTTCGGCGGATTTCACAGTTTGAGCTCCGGCCCCGTGAAGACTCCTCAGGGGGGCGAAAGGGATGTGGCAGAGGCCCGGAGGGCACGTCCTCTCCGTGCCCAGCGGCACGGTGGCGGATCTTCGTGCTGCTCCGTTCTCAGAACGGCTTGTCCGGAAGAGTTCAACCTGTCTCTTCTATAAGCGAGTGGTGGGTGGGCTGCGAGGAAAGTCTTGGAGGCCTCGCGCGTCGTATGGCACGGCGCAGGCGCGGCGGAGGCCGACGTGATCTTGACGTGGAGCCGACGTACAGTGGGCCTCCGGCTCCCGCATGAGGCCTCGTCGGGTGGGTCGCCGGATCCCGAATCGGCAGGGCGGCGTGGTCTCTCGTGGGCGGCTGGGCTCCGGGATCGGTGGGGCGGCGCGGCCTCCTGTGGCCTGCGATGGCCGTCCCTCTCCGTAGCCCTCTGTCTCCATCCCTGTATCCCTCTTGCCTTGTGGTCCCCAGGCCACATCCCGATGCCTATCGCCGTATCCCGATAGCGCTCTATCCGTACGTCCCTATCCCGATCCCCCCTCGTGGCCCCCCATCGTGACCCCCACTCGGTCCCCCCCCCATTGTAAGGGCGTCCGCTGTTTAGGATCTTCTGCCGCAAGGGGTCTCATCAGTTCCTGCACTCCTGAAGCCTCGCACACTTCATGCATCCTTGAAGTGGGACTGAACAGTGCAGCAACCAACGATTTGAACAGAGCCTGCAAAACATCGCTGGAGCATCCCTTCAGGGGGAATCACATGGGCATCGTGCAAGCACACGGCACACATCACAGGGACACTGCACAACATAAATCAAGAGCGCGTGTGCTAACAGCCGCTCAAAGGCAGCGGAGCTGGGGCCCCACGATCGCAGCACGCTTGGGGCATTCATTTCGGAAGCTATTTCGGCTGAGCTTCAATTGCCAAAGAGATTGATTCACCAGCATTCGTGCGATTTCGGCCGCGCGGCCGACTGACCTCTCTCCGAATGAGGGCTGCGGGCGTGCTCTGCTTCCTGCTCTCGTGGGCCGCGTCTGCCCGCTCGGACGCCGACGCCTGCGGTGCGCCGGGCGGTGGCTGTCCAGAGACGGAGGAGGCAGCGTTGTTGCAGAGAGCTAGGGGGCCACATGCGAGCCCTCCCCCTCAGAAGTCGTGGGGGGTAGAGGTAGGGTTCGCATGTGGCCCCCTGAGAGCGCTGAAGCAGGGAGGCATTGCTGCGTTGCAACCTTCAAGTGGCGCAACCACTAATGCCGCCGACGGCACGTTCCGCAAGGTGACGGCTGCCCTGCAGCGCCACAGGCGCGGGGTGGCCAGCGGCAGCGGCATCAGCTGCTACCAGAACGGCACGGAGCCCGGGTCAGCAGCGACCGTGGGGAGCTGCCAGGAGGGCGACGACATGTGCTCGGTGATGACAGTGTTGGGCTCGCTCGTGTACACCTGCTCCAACAACGACGCCTGCGACCTCGCCAAAAAAGCGGGAGACTTGTGGGGCGACCTCATCGGGGAGGAGAAGGACCCGCTCGAGGGCAGCCTCGGTTTCTCTTGCTGCCAGGGGGACGGTTGCAACGAGCCCGGCGCCGCGGCCCTCGCCCAGCAGCCGCGGCCTTCTGACCGCGACGGCGCGTTCCGCAAGGTGACGGCTGCCCTGCAGCGCCACAGGCGCGGGGTGGCCAGCGGCAGCGGCATCAGCTGCTACCAGAACGGCACGGAGGCCGGGTCAGCAGCGACCGTGGGGAGCTGCCAGGAGGGCGACGACATGTGCTCGGTGATGACAGTGTTGGGCTCGCTCGTGCACACCTGCTCCAACAAGGACGCCTGCGACCTCGCCAAAAAAGCGGGAGACTTGTGGGGCGACCTCATCGGGGAGGAGAAGGACCCGCTCGAGGGCAGCCTCGGTTTCTCTTGCTGCCAGGGGGACGGGTGCAACGAGCCCGGCTCCGCGGCCCTCGCCCAGCAGCCGCGGCCTTCTGACCGCGACGGCGCGTTCCGCACGGTGACGGCTGCCCTGCAGCGCCACAGGGGCGGGGTGGCCAGCGGCAGCGGCATCAGCTGCTACCAGAACGGCACGGAGCCCGGGTCAGCGGCCACCGAGGGGAGCTGCCAGGAGGGCGACGACATGTGCTCGGTGACCACAGTGATGGGCTCGCTCGTGTACACCTGCTCCAACAAGAACGCCTGCGACCTCGCCAAAAAAGCGGGAGATTTCTGGGGCGACCTCATCGGGGAGGAGAAGAACCCGCTCGGGGACATCCTCGGTTTCTCTTGCTGCCAAGGGGACGGGTGCAACGAGCCCGGCGCCGCGGCCCTCGCCCAGCAGCCGCGGCCCTCTGACCGCGACGGCGCGTTCCGCACAGTGACGGCTGCCCTGCAGCGCCACAGGGGTGGGGTGGCCAGCGGCAGCGGCATCAGCTGCTACCAGAACGGCACGGAGCCCGGGTCAGCGGCCACCGAGGGGAGCTGCCAGGAAGGCGACGACATGTGCTCGGTGACCACAGTGATGGGCTCGCTCGTGTACACCTGCTCCAACAAGAACGCCTGCGACCTCGCCAAAAAAACGGGAGACTTGTGGGGCGACCTCATCGGGGAGGAGAAGGACCCGCTCGGGGACATCCTCGGTTTCTCTTGCTGCCAGGGGGACGGGTGCAACGAGCCCGGCGCCGCGGCCCTCGCCCAGCAGCCGCGGCCCTCTGACCGCGACGGCACGTTCCGCACGGTGACGGCTGCCCTGCAGCGCCACAGGGGCGGGGTGGCCAGCGGCAGCGGCATCAGCTGCTACCAGAACGGCACGGAGCCCGGGTCAGCGGCCACCGAGGGGAGCTGCCAGGAGGGCGACGACATGTGCTCGGTGACCACAGTGATGGGCTCGCTCGTGTACACCTGCTCCAACAAGAACGCCTGCGACCTCGCCAAAAAAGCGGGAGACTTGTGGGGCGACCTCATCGGGGAGGAGAAGGACCCGCTCGGGGACATCCTCGGTTTCTCTTGCTGCCAGGGGGACGGGTGCAACGAGCCCGGCGCCGCGGCCCTCGCCCAGCAGCCGCGGCCTTCTGACCGCGACGGCACATTCCGCAAGGTGACGGCTGCCCTGCAGCGCCACAGGCGCGGGGTGGCCAGCGGCAGCGGCATCAGCTGCTACCAGAACGGCACGGAGGCCGGGTCAGCAGCGACCGTGGGGAGCTGCCAGGAGGGCGACGACATGTGCTCGGTGATGACAGTGATGGGCTCGCTCGTGTACACCTGCTCCAACAAGGACGCCTGCGACCTCGCCAAAAAAGCGGGAGACTTGTGGGGCGACCTCATCGGGGAGGAGAAGGACCCGCTCGAGGGCAGCCTCGGTTTCTCTTGTTGCCAGGGGGACGGGTGCAACGAGCCCGGCGCCGCGGCCCTCGCCCAGCAGCCGCGGCCTTCTGACCGCGTCGGCACGTTCCGCACGGTGACGGCTGCCCTGCAGCGCCACAGGGGCGGGGTGGCCAGCGGCAGCGGCATCAGCTGCTACCAGAACGGCACGGAGCCCGGGTCAGCGGCCACCGAGGGGAGCTGCCAGGAGGGCGACGACATGTGCTCGGTGACCACAGTGATGGGCTCGCTCGTGTACACCTGCTCCAACAAGAACGCCTGCGACCTCGCCAAAAAAGCGGGAGACTTGTGGGGCGACCTCATCGGGGAGGAGAAGGACCCGCTCGGGGACATCCTTGGTTTCTCTTGCTGCCAAGGGGACGGGTGCAACGAGCCCGGCGCCGCGGCCCTCGCCCAGCAGCCGCGGCCTTCTGACCGCGACGGCGCGTTCCGCACGGTGACGGCTGCCCTGCAGCGCCACAGGGGTGGGGTGGCCAGCGGCAGCGGCATCAGCTGCTACCAGAACGGCACGGAACCCGGGTCAGCGGCCACCGAGGGGAGCTGCCAGGAGGGCGACGACATGTGCTCGGTGACCACAGTGATGGGCTCGCTCGTGTACACCTGCTCCAACAAGAACGCCTGCGACCTCGCCAAAAAAGCGGGAGAATTCTGGGGCGACCTCATCGGGGAGGAGAAGGACCCGCTCGGGGACATCCTCGGTTTCTCTTGCTGCCAAGGGGACGGGTGCAACGAGCCCGGCGCCGCGGCCCTCGCCCAGCAGCCGCGGCCTTCTGACCGCGTCGGCGCGTTCCACACGGTGACGGCTGCCCTGCAGCGCCACAGGGGTGGGGTGGCCAGCGGCAGCGGCATCAGCTGCTACCAGAACGGCACGGAGCCCGGGTCAGCGGCCACCGAGGGGAGCTGCCAGGAGGGCGACGACATGTGCTCGGTGACCACAGTGATGGGCTCGCTCGTGTACACCTGCTCCAACAAGAACGCCTGCGACCTCGCCAAAAAAGCGGGAGACTTGTGGGGCGACCTCATCGGGGAGGAGAAGGACCCGCTCGGGGACATCCTCGGTTTCTCTTGCTGCCAAGGGGACGGGTGCAACGAGCCCGGCGCCGCGGCCCTCGCCCAGCAGCCGCGGCCTTCTGACCGCGACGGCGCGTTCCGCACGGTGACGGCTGCCCTGCAGCGCCACAGAGGTGGGGTGGCCAGCGGCAGCGGCATCAGCTGCTACCAGAACGGCACGGAACCCGGGTCAGCGGCCACCGAGGGGAGTTGCCAGGAGGGCGACGACATGTGCTCGGTGATGACAGTGATGGGCTCGCTCGTGTACACCTGCTCCAACAAGAACGCCTGCGACCTCGCCAAAAAAGCGGGAGACTTGTGGGGCGACCTCATCGGGGAGGAGAAGGACCCGCTCGGGGGCAGCCTCGGTTTCTCTTGCTGCCAAGGGGACGGGTGCAACGAGCCCGGCGCCGCGGCCCTCGCCCAGCAGCCGCGGCCCTCGCCCAGCAGCCAGTAGCCGCGCCCCCGCCCGTCGGCTATCGATGATGGCTACGGCGACATGCTGCCGCCTGGTGCCTTGATGCAACGCCTATGCGAGCCTATGTTGCCAAACTTTCGGCCAACGTCTTGCCAAGCTCTTGGGCTATGTGTTCCCCTGGCCGCTGTGGAAACCCTTTCGGCGACACTTGGGGAAGGAAGAGCCCGAGAGAAGGAGCACGAAATATTGGAAGGCAAGAGCGAGCGGCAAATAGGAACGCGCGCACAACTGAGGAGAAGGAGGAAGAGGAGCAGGACGAGGAGGAGGCCTCTACGGCCTCTTGTGGGGTTGTGACGACCCCCTGGGTGCCTCCTGGGGCCTCTTGGGGACTGTTGGGGGTCTCCACGAGACATCTTGGCCTTTGAGGCCGTCTCGGGGGCCTCATTGGCCAACCCTGGGTCTTCGTGGGACGCCTTAGGGCCGTCTTGGGGGCTTCTGGGGCCGTCCGGGGCTCATCTTAGTGGCCTCTTGGGCCGTCTTCGGCTGTCGGCAACCCGGAGAGGCAAGAACGTAAGGTTCTGTCACGCACCTATGGGGCCGCCTGTAGGGCCTTCTGGAGCCACGCTGTGTCATCTTGGAAGCCTCTTGAGCCGTCTTGGGTTGTCTGCCGAAGAAGAAAACACAGCATAAACATAAACTGTTGGCGCTCCACGCGGATTTCTCGGATGCGCGCTGGGGCCTTCGGCGGCGCCTCTGGCGCCGCCCCCCTTGCCTGTTGGAAACGCCCATGCGGCAAACCGTTGGGTCAAAGTGTGGCCAATATATTGGGCTATGTGTTTGGGACACTTGGAATAGGAAGAGAGAAGGAGGAGGAGGAGGAGGAGGAGGAGGAGGAGGAGGAGAAGGACAATGAGGAGGAGGAGGAGAAGGAGGAGGAGGAGGAGGAGGAAGAAGAGAAGGCCTCTTGATACCCTCTTGGGGCATCCTGCCTGGGTCCTCGTGGGGGGCCTTTGGGGGCCTCCACGGGATCTTTTCCCTTGGCCTTCGGAGGCCGTCTAGAGGCCTTTCTGGGCAGTCGCGGGTGCCTATGGGCTATGGGCGTTTCAGGGCCGTCTTGGGACCTCTTCCACCGTTTGGGGGATTTCTTGGGGCGCCTTGGGGGCCTCTTGGGCCATCCTGCGGGCCGCTTCGGGGTCTCTTCGGGCGCTCTTGGAGGCGTCTTCGGGACCATCTTGGAGGCCATCTTGGGCAACCTTAGCCGTCTTGGAGGCCATCTTGGCCGTTTGGTTTTAGGGTGGCTGGCGGGTTGAAGGGTTGAACCGAGACCTCACTGTGAACCAGCCTGGACCTTTCAGATTTGGCACGCCGTGCACCCCTGTCGCAAGCCACAGGAGGCGGCGGAATCGAAGACGCCTACGGCGAATCACTGCCACCCCCTGCCTTGACGCCTATGTGGCCAAACGTTGGGACAAAGCTTGGCACCATTTTTGGACCATGCGTTCCCCCAGCCGTTGTGGAAACCTTTCGGGGAACACGTAGGGGAGGAAGAGGAGGATGAGGAGAGGGAGGAGGAGGAGGAGGAGGACGAGGAGGAAGAGGAGGTGGAGAACGATGGGGACCTCATGAGGAGACCTCTTGGGAGCCTCTTGAGGTCATTCTTCGAGCCACCTAGGGAGCTTCCTGGTGGCTTCTTGGGGGCCTCTTGGGAGCCTTCGGGAGCTTCTTGGGGCCTCTTTGGCTGTCTTGCGGCGTTCGTGGCCCGTCTGACGGCGTCGGAAGCAGTCTTGGAAGCCGCTCTCGGCCGTCTCGAGGCCCACTTGGGGTGCTCAAGGGTCGTCTTGATTGAGGCCATCTTGGGCGTCTTGGATGCCTCTTGGGCCGTCTTGGGGACCTTTGGGTGGCCGCCTGGGGAGCCTCGTGGGCCGTTCTGGGGCAATCTTGGGGGCCACTTGGGTGGTCTTGGGGGCGATCTTGTGGGCCCCCTGGGCAGTTATTGGGCCCTCGGACGGCCGAAACGAAGCAGATGCCCAAATCCTTCAGGCATTGGTTTGGGCCTCTACGGGGCTTCGTAGAGGACCTCTTGGAGGCTTCTTGGGCCCTCTTCGGGGCCGCTGAGTCGCTGCTAGGGCCGTATTGGGTTATCTTGGGCCATCTTGGCGATCGTGGGTGCACTATGGAGCAGTCGTGGAGGCCATCTTCGGGCTATCTTGGGCTCTCTGGGGCCATCCTGGCTGCCTTGGAGGCATAGTGGCTATATTGGTGGCCATCTGGAGGCCACCTTGAGCGAAACAGCCGACGGCAGGGGCAGCTGGTGCGCTGCGCCAAAGCATCAGGGGCAGTTCTCGACCTTACCTCCGCCCTCTCTGATCAGATGACAAAACGGCGGTGTCGGCAATGACCGCGCAGCCCTTTCGGCTCGCAGAGCCGTGGTTCTGCAATCCCTGACCGAGCAGGCGTTCCCTCGCTCTCCCCCCTCGTCAGTGCTGCCCTGGTTTTCATCTGCCAATATTTCCTGGCGGTCTCTCAGACAAGCTTGTGGCACAATGCCCAGCTCTGCTTAGGCTGTTGCGAGCCTCTTTTTTCAGTCCCCGCCCTGGAAAAACACAATGACATCTAGCACGTCGGGCACCCTTGCGGCAAGACCATCGGGGGCGGCGGAATAGTGGCCTTCGACACATCCCGCCCAACGAGGCGGCACCAGCCGCATTTTGCGGAGACCACTTTCCCCGATCCATGGATTTGGCGACCACGCGCCAAATCCATGGATCGCCAATCCATGTTTGCGCGCCCCCGACTAGGTTGTGCGCCAGAGGTCTCTTGCATGTTTTTGGTGGGTTTCGTGGGATACCTCTCGGGGGGGGAGCTCTTGGGCGCTTCTTGGAGCCTCTCGGGGGGCGTTCGGTGTTTGCTTCTCGGAGGCCGCTTCGGGGCCTCTTGCTGTGGTTTCTTTGGGGCTTCTGGGGGGCTCTTAGGCGGTGTTCGGGGGGGGGGGGGGGGGGGCAATACGTAGGGAATGGTTCTGGAGCCCCTTCGCGTTCCCCCTCTTGGGCCCCTTCTTGAAGCTTTTTGGGATGCCTCTCTGGCAGTCCGCGGGCACTCCTGGACCGTTGTGGGGCCCGCCCGGGCCCTCTTGTGGCCTCTTTGCGGGCCTCTTGGGCCGTCGTGGGGTGATCTTGGACACCTCTCGGGACGTCTTGGAGTTTTGCAAGCCCGAAGGCGAGAACGCTGAAAGCATTCATACTCAATCCAGCGCGACCCCACTTTCATGACATCGCATTAAGCGAATGATCCAGCAGCGAACAGGCTTTCCGTTGCGTGGCATCTTTGTCTGTTGTTTGGCGTTGCGTTGCGTTATGGCGTTGCATTGCATTGCTTGACATTACGTTGCGTTGAATCGCGTTGCTTTACTTTGCTGGGCAGAATGGAACTGCATAGGACGCAAGACAAAGCAACCCGGAGAGTGAAGTAAGGTAACAAGACCGAGCAATATTGGGGAAGGTAGTAAGGGAAATAATCAAAGCAATCCCGGGGCCCATAAGGAAATAAGACAGCAATTTTAGGGAATGCGGTAAGGAAGCAAGACACAGCAACTCAGCGAATGCAGTGAGGAAAAGACCAAACTACCCCAGGAGTAAGGAAACAAGACCAAGCAACCCCAGGAAACGCCGCAGTAATTAAGGAGATAATGGCAATCAATCCTGGGGCACAGAAAGAAACAAACGCAAACCACTCCAGGAATGCAGTAAGGACACAAGACAGCAACCCTATGGAAGGCAGCGAGTCAAATAAACCCAGCAATCCTGGGGAACAGAAGGAAGCGAGACGCGGCGTTCTTGTGAAACGCAGCTTGCAAGAAAGACCCAGCAACCCAGGAGTGCAGTGAGGAAACACGAAAGAGCAACTCCGGGGAATGCGGTAAGGAAGCAAGACCAAGCAACCCAGGGAATGCGATGAGGAAAAGTAACACCAAGCAACCCCAGGGAAGGCGGTGAAAAATAACACCAAACAACCCCATGGGAGGCGGTACTGAAAGGAGGCCAGGCTGCCCTGGGAAGCGCAAGCCGGCGCAGGCCTCGCGCCCACCTGTTCTTGTGAACAGATGCGTGCCCCGCCCGGCAAAGCTTAATATTGGGGAAAGGAGTTGCGCCTCGTGGAGCGCTCTGACTCGGGGGGTCCTCGTGGGACATCTTTGGGCGCATACAGTGGGGGCGCGCATCAAGAAACCACATGCTTTTCGTCAGGGTATCCTGGGTTTCTTCGCTCCTCGCGCTGCGCGATGACTTCCCGCAGCCGTTGAAGGAGCGGCTGCGTTCAGAGTGCTCCGGGCTTCCCCTCAGGCGTACCTCTCGCACGGGTTCTCAGGGTTGGGTTTCTTGCGAGGGTTTCTTGCGGCCGCGCCCGCACTGTATGGGGCCTCTTAAGCTCTCAGGCCGTCTCGTGCCTGTCTTGGGCCGTCTTGGTGTTGGTGCCCTGGGCCGTCTCGAGGCCTCCTTTGGGACCGCATGACTTCCGGACCGAGGACGCTCCGGTGAGTACCCCAGCGGCACGCCGGCGACTGCAAGAAGCCGACGCCAGTGCTCCGACCCTGGAGAAAGCGCGAGGGCGACCAGGAGGAGGCAGCATAGCTCGGGGGTGGACAGAACCCCCAACAGTGACACGTCGATTAGTGAATTGTCCGTTTTCGGTTCTCGAGAGGGCGCCGTGGCCGTTATTTTCCAGGCTTGCGCCCGCCAGGTTTGGGCCTCAGGTCGTTTTCACTAAACCACGTTTTACTAAAGGGGGGTCTGTCCATCCCCGAGTAGCATTGCCAGGAGGACTCCAGCTGAAGGAGGGATAGGCGGCAGATGCGTCTCGGAAGGGGGGTGGCTGGAGCATGAGAGTAGCTGGGACGGCCGTTGGCGGGCTGCCATGGCAGCAGTCCTGAAGGGCCACCCAGCGTGGACTCAGCACGGGCATCTCCCCCCGAGCGGTTGTTCGGGGGTGCTCTTGCCCTCGACCTGGGTGTGCGGGCGAGCATGTGGCCCGTCTTGAGGCGCGCG